TTTTTTTTTTTTTTTTTTTTTTATTTATCTGTTTTTCTTGCTGCTTTTCTGCCCCCGCCCCCCCCCCCCCCCCCCCGCCACAATCAGCTTGTGAGATTAGCACTGCCCTCCCACGGTGAAATTTTATGGACCAAATCTGCCCGCCACCAGGCTCAGCAGCATAATCTCACCAGCAGCTGAAAGCCAGGCTTCTCTAAGGCCAGAACACCGTGGGAGTCCCGGGAGGGGGAGGTGATATGCAGCTTTAAACATCTGGAGGCGGAGACACACACGTGTCAGATTCCCTGCACTCTCGTTAGACTGTTCGATAAGCTGAAGCCTTGAAGATTTTGCCAGCAGTGTTTGTTACCTGGTGTAAATGTGCCCTTTCTTACGATGCTTTTTATTGCTCTTGGCTAAGAATACTGGACAGAGATGGGAGACCTGACGCACGGGCAGGCAGGCCGCTTTGCAGGAGAACTTGAACTTGACGTGCACAAAGCTGACAGTTCCTTGAAGGCCTTGTCAACCGTCCGTCCAGTAAACACTGCCACTACCCCGAGTGAAAACAGAGCAAAGACCACAAGCACATATCGAGACCCCGGCACCTGTCTTGAAGCAATTATCGACGTTATCACTCTACAATGAATCTCTTTTTGAAGTTGTTTTCCTGATATTTAGCAGTTTGAATACTAATCCCCTTAACAAAACTGCCCCCAAGCGTTCCCCCCCCCTCCCCCGCCCCCCTAATCTCCTTCTCTCCAGGGGGAGGGCGGGTGCTGGGTACCAGTCAGTCGACTTTGCCGCACCTGGATTTGCATTGATTCCTCTCTTGTCATTCATGTTACCAACAGGAATTAGCATAAGGCATTAAGGGAAACTCTGGAGGAGAAAAGAAAGGCCATTTTGATGGAAATAAGGGGCAAAGGAATAATCTGCCATCAACTAAAATGCTTATTTGTGTATGGTTTCCCAAGCAAAGCTTAGAAAAAGCCTATGTTGATTTTAGTGCACACAAAGAAACCTTAATCCTTTCAAGGCAACTAAATCACCCCCAGAAAAGCAGCTCAGAAGAAAGGCACCCTGTCAGGGGGATGACTATTCACAACCAAATAGATGCCACAAATCACACTCTGTAAGTAAACAAAAATAAGAATGTGGGAAACGTTTGGTTGGAAAAGGGAAGGGGGGCAGGGGTGGGGGAGTCGGGGCTGCGGGGAGCCATTCTCATCGACCACCCTTCAACTTCCCCGAAGAGAGCCTTTCAGCTCGGTGAGGGCAGCAAGGGCCTCAACGCAGGTCCCGGAACGGCGCCAGCTCCCACTCGAGGGCTGATCCCAGAGAGGGGACACACATTCCAAAGCTTTTTGGAGCCAATGAGCAGAAGCAGAAGGGAAGCTTGGGGCTGGAGGGTCCTGTGTGTGTGTGTGGAGCGGGGGGCACCCGAGACCTCCTTTCCAGGCCCTGTCCTAACTTTTATCTCCTCCTCCACCCCCTTCTCTCACCCAGATTTGGATCCACCCGTGTCTACCCATCCCCTTCCCTCATCAAAACGAGCAATAAACAATTAGGCATTTGTACATATGAGCACTGCATGCTATGAACCACAAGCATCTTCTTTTATTGGGCTTTTAGCCTCATGGATAGCAAATTTATACAAACTTCCAGTCCATCAAAAAATATGATGACATATAAAACCGGAATACTCCATCCATCATGCCATAAAAAAGATAAAAACTCAATGTGACAATAATTCTGGGAGTAGCAGCCATCACACTAGCATCGACACCTCAAGGGAACTCTAAACATAATGTACTATTTAAAATGGCAGTTGGGTTCAAATTCTGAAATAATCTGGGAGCTCAAAAAAAAAAAAACAACAACAAAAAAACAAAACAAATAACAAAAAACAAAAACACAACCAAAAACCCGGCACTTGGAAATGTGTCTTACTGAACCCAGCTTGCAAAAATGCTGGCCAAGGCAACTAAGCGGATGTGGAAGTGGCTTCAAATTCCTCCACTCCAGGGAGGCCCCACTCTGTAACTTGTACCAAGTACTGGTCCCAGGTAACAACAGCAGGAGACTACCACAGACAGCACCCCGTCTGTATTTAGTACCGACCATGCAAGCACCCAAATCAGGTTCCACAGCGAAGGGGAGAAAGTCACTCAGTGTATGTAATTTATACCTTTCCAATTATACACCTTTGCGAAGGCAGTGATTGGGGAGACTCCCTTCGATTCCGTGATTTCCAACAACACTGCTACAAATGAAAACTGTAGTGATCGAGGACAGGTTTTCCCTTAATGCACTGTTACATCATTAGCCCGTCTTAGTCTGATATTGCAGTTTGGAAGAAATTAATGGGACAGCACATATTTAAGTTTTGCCCTCTTGCTCATTTATGAACTTCTCAGAAAGCCCACAGCAGACTGAGGCTTGGTTTATGACCATAAGCCAGTGCGTACTAAACATCCACTGGTTATCAGGGTCTGCAGGACGAATCAGCTATTTATAGTTCTATTTATAGTTCTCCGACTGCGGGGTAGTTGATAAGTAACAATAAAGTGAAGGCATTTTGAGAACTATTATTCTCCATTACCGCTTCCTGCATTAAATTAAACTCACATAGATAGCAGTGATTTCTTAGTCAAAGCAATTTAAATAAGGATTCAGCGTATTCTTCAAAAAGAAACCATTCTGGAATACAACACCAAAGCATACAGAATCTGTCTCAGGCAAAAAACACACAGGGTGAATCGTGGCTCCAGAGTGAAAAATGAAAGGCCGTTTGTTTTTTATTCTGATTTTCTAGGCAATGACAATGAAACAAATACAAAAATCAGCCATTGCTCAGAACGAAGGTGTCTTACCTTTGTTTACAATAACAGTATTGAAGAGCTTTTCAGAGCTGGCATCTGATGCCTGAAAAACAAGAAAGGGAGAAAAAAATGTGATTATGGTCGTTAATATTGTCATCACCATCATCACTGATTTTCAACCAGTTCACTACATTTTTAGCAAAACCTGACAGGGAAAGCAGCAATTTCCCCCAATCGTCCATAAGGTGGCGCTATTTGACTGCACGAGACAGACCTGCAGTGCAGCTCTTTGCTGGGGGAAAAAATCTGATTTTAAAAACGTGTCCTTATTAGACATATTATCTGTGCAAAACATATTTCTATGAGATGATACACAAAGCGATTCAGCTCATTCACATAATGATTTTGCAATTTCGTTGACAGATCATTATTTTGGAAATGGTGCTTTTTTTTCTTTGAGATGTACAGACATGCCTATTTTTCAATGTTCTTTCACAACCCAGAAATGCCTATTATTTAACGCTATGCTTTTCCCCACTAAAAAGTAATGGCTAGCACTTCCGGAAATTAATTTAAAGATTCAGCTGATGACCTCGAGATCCTTGTTCTTCCTAGCAAACCAGGACGACCTTGGTGTTGAAACAGAAGCAAGCTGACCTGCCCCCGAACCTGACACGATGCACGCCACAAGCGTTACATCCTTCCCATTTTCTAGAATCGTATCTGCTAATTACTACCTACAGTGGCTTGAGGAAAGTGAAATAAACCTGTTTCAACAGCAAGAGTAAAGCCAGGGTAAATTATACACTAATGTTCTGGAAAAGAAACACACAGTTGATTTGGAGGAAAATGCCATAATGCTGTAGAGGCACGGAATATTTGTAGAACTTCTAGAAAAAATTAAACAATTGAAGTAAACATGAGCATCCCCACTACGGTAATCTGAAAATGGACCTGCATTTAAAGTTACAATGGCTATGCTGCAACCCTTGCCATGCAACCCTTGTAAATCATTTGTCTTTCACACTGTATACACAGAGATGCATATTTTGGCAAAGCAAAGCATAGCATGTTGAACAAATATAGAAGGAACTATAAGAATTGGGGAGAGGGTATATCCCAAGTACAGCATATTCCCTGACTCTGGGGCTGGGGGGGCTGACTTTGGGGACAAAGAAGGTACTCAATTTAGCCTTTCTGTGTTATGTTGATGAAAAAGAGATATTCGTATGTATACCTGGGGAACATATTCTGGTTTTCAATGCAAGGGATACAGAAAGACAAAAAATATTTTTATTATGAGTTTTCCCCCCTTTATTTTCCTCCTAACCTCCCTACTGTAGAGGTGGTTCAGAAAATTAATAGGTCAAGGGGAAAAAAATGAATGTATGTGTAAGACAGGGATTGGCCTGCACACACATGTATATACAGTTTAAAATAAACCCAAGATAGCTTTAAAATTTTTTTTTGTATGAATAAAAAATATGCCAAAGTCCTTCCTGACACCTTAGAGGTAATTAAATAAAACTCTACAATAGCTTTTCAGGAAAATAAGCTGCCAAAAAAGTGTGGCATGGAGAAAGAAACAAAATATGCCTTAAACAAATCAGAAAGATTGTTAATAAAGGCAAACATTACAGTAACAGTGCTGTGATATTGCTATCTGTGGTGAGATGTCTAGGAATGTGAGTTTTCCCTGCTAAAAACTCAGAGATAAGCCTGTGTCTCCATTCTTGAATGAAAAAAAGCGTCTCTTAGTTTAAACTGGAAGGACTGTGTTAAATTCATGGCTTTTAAAAACAAACTCCGGCTGATATGTTTAAAAGAAAGAAAAAGACTCCATTAATGACATCATCTTAAAACGGAAATCACCTTTGCGGACACAGGGATTACCTATTAAAATCTGTCCAATTGGCCCAAAGAAATAGGACAATAAATGCAAATGCACCCCGAATGCAGAGAACGTGGGTGAGGAAAGGGAATGGTTCCCGATTGAGCTTTTTATTTGTGTGGGTGTATGAGAGAGATCACACAGGATAGAAGCTGCAGGTTAACAGGCCCTCCGGTTGTCTGAAACACCTCCTTGGGGCTGTGGCCTTTTGTCGGCTCCCCGGCTCTACACAACACTCGCTATTCTCAAGGAGGCGGTTAAGTGTTCCTTATATCTGAAGCCAACTTAGAAAAAGTGATTATGAGGCGGCCAACCAGTAAGTTATTAAGGAAATAAGTCTGGCAGGATATTCAGAGAAGATTAGGAGTGTGCCTGCTAATAAAAGCTGAGCCCTTTAATTTTCTGATGCGTGTCACAAAGCCTGAAACGATGCCTCTTCTGATTGGGGAAGGGGCCGCCTCAAAATAAGCCTCCGCAGGAAAACACCCCAAAGAAAAACACTGCGATGGGACACTGGCTCATCATGAAATGATTCTGGGTCCCTTCCTTCTCCCCACCCAGGTGGTTGAAACTATGGCGGCCCACCGTCCTGAGAAGTCAGCCAGGAGCTTCCTGGCCAAAGTCTGAAGTGGAAACTCCGAGAAAATCCTTTACATTTCCTCCACCAACTTTCCAAATTCGACTTCTGCGTTTAAAGCATCTGTGTAAATTATTTGGCCCTTTATCCTGCGGACGGTTTCTTTTTCATGATTTTTGGAAGAAAAAAAAAAAAAGTCTGCATTTCCTTGTACTACCTGGGCCATTTTCCTGGCCGGTTTTTTACTTTTTTTTTTTTTAACACAGGGGCACCCTTACACGCTAAGGACTTCTACATTTTGTCCTCATTTCGCTTCACGCCCCTCGCTCGGTTTGGGAGGGTGAGGGCGTAAAGTGGCTGCGTCTAAAAAGGACGGAAAAACAAAGCTCTCTCTTGGCTGCTTTTTAATGGGGGGAGGGGGGGAGGGAGAGATTTTTTTTTTTTTGATACTAAAAAAATTACTAGAGGCCGTAGTTGGTGTTTAGGGAAAAGTTAATAAGGCAAACAGACTGGAGGAAAGAGCGCCGAGAATGGGAAAAGGCATGCGAGCCTTCCGCGCAGACGGGGGTGGGATGCGGCCGCTCGGGTTCGAGGGCCACCTCCGTTCTCTCCGGCCGCAGACCCCGGGGCGCCCTCCGCACCCGCGCCCGCAGGAAGACGGACTTCCCAACAAGGGAAGAAGAGAAGCCTCCTCGAAACTTAAGCGCGAGTTCTTCCAGCGACTGCCGCCGATCGCGAGCCCAGACCTCCTCTGCCTTCCCTTGGCACCGCGTGCGGGCCGGGATCCCGAGCTCGGAGCGCCAGCGCCACGCCGCGCCTCGGTCTCCAGCCCGACTGGGCGCAGGCCCCGGCCCGGGCCCCGGCCCCGGGGTCGGCTGGAGCCCCTCGGGACCGGAGGCGCCGGGCCGGCTGCGGCCCCCCGGCCCTGCCGGGCACGTCCGCGCCGCCGCTCCCCGGCCGAGCTCGGCCGGCCCACGGAGGAAAGTACAAAGGCGGGCGGCCAGGCCGCGGAGGGAGGGTGGGAGGGAGGGCAGAGGGAGGAGGGGTGGCGAAGGGGGGCCCGGGCGCGCCAGACGCGAGGCGCCCGCCCCTGCCACCTCTGCCCGCGGGCCCGGCCGCCGCAACAAAGACCCCCGACCCGGCCGCCTCCCTTCCGAGCGCGGGCGGCGAGCGAGGGAGCCGCGCCCCCCGGGGCTGCATTACCTGGTCGCAAAGGGTTAAGCGGTCCTGTCAGCCCCAAGTTCATGGTTTGGTTCCTTAGCAGGGCTCACGATGGGGGATCGGCAGAGACCAGGGGGAAAAAAGCGGCCAAACACACGAAGAGAAAACGCCCAACTCCGACCGGGCTGCGTCCGCAAGTCTGTCCTCGGTTCCTCGCGAAAGTCTGAAAGCGGATGCACGGGACCCAAATCCGTACGAGAGCAGCAGCTGGCGGCGGCCGAGCGCCAGCGCCGCGCACACATCCAGCGCGGCCGAGGCCGGGCGGCGGGCGGCGGGGGGAGCGCC